AATAAATTTTATAAAATTTTCTTGAATCTACACTACCAAGGAAGCCTCAAGAATTAGCCAAAAAAATCTGAAGTAAAGTGGAATTAGAATAAATCTGAAGTTCGGCCTTAGCTCTCTGTTTTTCGATCCTTCCCATGTGCACATGTGCATGTACAATATTTTTTTTTGCTAAACATTCTTAACAATTTTAATGTTCACACCGGGGGCATATTGTTCCGGGAGCCAAGCTGCCATCTCCGTCCATCCCCGACGACTAGTGCTTTCATAGTTCACAGCTATTTGTCCTGTACCGCCTCCTTATTTGACTGATGCTACTTTCCTGTTGATTTTTCATATAGTGCAGATGTGCCATTGCATTGACGGTGACCCTGCATAATTTGGTGATTTACAGGGTCATTTTCCTTTCAAGAATTAGATAATTCAAGACTGTCAACATCTTTGGGCCCAATACTCCCGTAAGTTGCAGACCCTTAAGAGAAACACTGGCCTAAAGACTTCTGTCTTGTCCAGTTGTCATATAGCTTAACATCTACAACTATATTATATACTGAATTAATGTATCACTTTATTCATTGTGCTGCTGTGCATTGCAAGGTCAGTGATGAATTTGTAATTTCATTTCCTTCCCACTGAAGTTAGACCCTCTTTGGATCAGGTGAATCCGCAAGTCTTTCTTACTACTTTTCATTTCCTCGTTGGATTGTGTTCAGGTGGTTATTATGAGAGTGGACTTGGAAGTCGTTGCTTGTGATGTTTTGATGTAGCAGCATTCTTTGTCCGATAGGTACGTTCTGAGAGTGGACTTGGAAGTCGGTCCTCGAGTGTGTCGCGTCGTCATTTACTCAGTCTCACTATTTGCCCAGTCGGTAGCCTGCAAGCTAGGCCCCACCCAGTAATTAATCTTATGTCTTGACTAGTTAGCTCTCACAAGAAAAAAAAAAGAAAACGAATCTGCTGACCACTTGGATGTGTATAAATTCAGTGGATGGTTTGTTCACAGAAAGTATCTTTCTACACCCAGGAGCATTTGGTGTGAACAGTGAAGTCAAAAAAATCAAAAAAAATCTGAATTTTTTTTGTGACATGCTTTCACAAATGTTTGTTGTGCATGCAAAATTTCATCACGAAATCACATTGGTGGAAGTTGTGCCAAAAAAACAAAATCAGAGCTCAAAAATGCTTTTGTAAGTAACATTTTCAGAGTATCAAATTTGTTTATTTTACCACGTCTTCTACCAATGTGATTTTGCGATGAAATTTTGCATGCACAACAAACATTTGTGAAAGTATACCACAAAAAAAATTCAGAATGTTTTGAATTTTTTTTATGTTACTATTCATACCAGGAGCATTTGCTCTTGAGTGTAGAAACTCTACGTCCGTTTCTTCACTTCTTTTAATCGTATGAGAACTAGCTCTAGATAGCTTGGAGATGCATAACATGTTGATCACAACAAGACGCTCGCTTCTACTCTCAACTCTATGCACACAGACCGTATCATGCTGATCAGCAGGAACTAGCTATAACTTATTCCAAATAATCCCTCCATCCTATATGGGGCGGATATGGAGACCCCCGGGCGTGTCCGCCACGTAGGACTAATGATGTGGTCTCACGCGGAATCGCCCGGGAACCCGATGGTCCGACAGACGCCTCCTCTGTCACCGTGGTGTGAACGTCGCTCCAACTTGCCTCCCGAGACCAGATCCGGTTATTTAAATCGGCGGTGTCCCCAACCCTAACCCATCCACCTCCTTCCTCTCTGCGCTGCAACCCGGGCCCATCCGCCTCCTCTCCCCCGCTCTCCCACGCTCTCCGGCATTGCCATTGTCCAGCAGAAGATCACCACCTACGCTATGCTCATGCCGGAGCGCCGGAGGAAGATCACGGAGGAGATCCAGGCTAGGCATGCCGCCTGCATCGCTGCTGGGCTTCCTCCAGGAGCAGGTGGTGGAGGAGGAGTAATAGCAGCCGGGGAAGGAGGAGGGAGAGCAGCTGTGAGAGCCGATGAAGGTGGCGGATCCGGTGGAGGACGAAGCAGAGCAGCCTGCTCTAGGGTTCAACATGGAGAAGGAGAGGCGGAGTTCGCCATCACCCAAGCCGCAGAGATGGCAAAGCAGCAGACCATCCTGGAGTCCATCCAGGATGAGGCCTATGTTGAGACCAACCGGCAGTTCCTCTCACAGGAGCAGGCAGAGACCGACACGCTCTTCGCCAAACTTGACACGAAGATAGAGGAGAAGGCCGGAGCGCAGCGACCGGAGGCGCCTAGCTGCAGCTGCGGCCCATGTACCCGGAGCCGGGCACGGAGATAGTCGATATCTCCGACGAGGAGTAGCTATGTGATCTATGTAGTATGTAAGTTTTTTTTTCCTTTGCATGCTTTTGTATGGATTTAAAAATCTAGTATAAGGTGTCCAGATGTACTTGTGCTAATTTGAGGATTTTTTTTTTGCGGGGGTGCTAATTTGAGGATTGATCGGTCACTGCCCGTGGACGCGTCAGCGGGTGTTTGAGGGGTCATATAGTTTTTTCAAGAATACACCAATGGTGTACCATATTTTTGTAGAAAGAAGAAAAGTGATTTTAAAGAGGCTAGTAATAGATGCGAACATCCATGCAAGCGAACTCCAACACACTAGGCTACTCTCTGGTAAAACGCTGAAGACCTCCGACTCCAAACCCGGCCAGTTGCAAGTATTTCACTTCCCGGGAGATTTGAATCCATAGATGCCAAGGGAGCTTGAACTACTCTGGTCTGTTCTTTGTCCGATAGATATGTTCTCAGAGTAGACTTGGAAGTCGGTCCTCGAGTTTGTCGTTGCGTCATTTACCCTGTCGACAGCCTGCAAGCTAGGCCTTACCCAGTTCCATAATTATGTAGATTTTTTTTAAAAAGTCATACCTTGTAAATTTTGACAAGTTTATAAAAAAATTATTTATATATACAATATCAAATATATAAAATATGAAATTACATGTTATGTTGAATATAATGAAATATATTTGGCATCCTAGATGTAAATGTTCTTTCTTTACAAACTTGGTTAAAGTTTGTGAGGTTTTACTTCATAAAAAATCTATATGCACTATATTATGGAACGGAGAGAGTACTGGTTAGCTCTCAGAAAGAAGAAACAGAATCTGACTACGATATGAGTCATTTCTGAGCGAATGCATCAACTGTCATTCGATCATCTAGCACGAATAGTGGTGCAAACCATGATGCAACGTCAGGGTTCATAGGACGAAGACTAAAAAAGAGCCCGACTCTGAATTAACAAAGCCATCAACCGATTAGGATTACAAATTCGAAACCAACACAAGAAAGCATAAAAACCACAAGATATATAGGCACTAGAAAGCAGCTCACAAGCCTCACACACACCAAGCTAAATAGGATCAAACATGAAGACACGCAGCTCGAAGACGTGTAGGTCCTCAGTCGCAAACAGGTCGCCAGGGAAGTAGGAGAATGCCAACATAGGAGCAACATTTCCGAGAGCGAAGAAGGGCACATCATCGCCAATCACAAGCGGCCCCGATATGCCATGTCCTCCCAGCTCCAATGTCAAAGAAGGCCCCTGCCTCCTCGCCTGGCTTGAAGGCGCCACACCGTTGACAATGGAGCAGTTCACCCTAGAACCTGGGAGAAAGAACACCAGCGGGCTGCATATGGAAAGAAAACTGAGCTCACCCAACTAGCCACAGAATGCTCACCTAGAGCAGCGCACCACCAAATCCCACAAACTGCACACATATGAGAAAGAGATGTCAAAACAGACGAAGAAGAGCAGTAGCATAGTGTTCCTGAAGGCATTGAGAACCGAAGGCCTTGATCGAAAATGGAGCTTAAGCTCTCACGGCACGCTGAGATGAGCCAACGGAGGGGAACCCGATCCCCTCCCGCCCTGGATTAGGCAAGGGACACCTCCTCTGCCCGAAGAGCTCCTGAATGCAAGGTGCCACCGAGGATCTCGCCGCAGACTTAAAAGACCATCTGCCACCGCCGCTGCACACCCGCCACATCGCTGAGAAGCCCAATGCCCACCTAGCTCCCAAAAGCAGCGCCTTCAGGAAGTACGCGAAGCCAAGGGTGCCGCGGCCGCCCAACTGAGTTGTGGTTTTCACCCCGGAGACTAGAGGGAAGGGGGACGGAGGATCTGACCTGAACGGCGCCTTCAAGGAGGGGAGCAGCGCCCTCGACCGTCGGCGCCGCCAAGACCGGTGGGGCCGACCTAGAATTTCTCCTGGCCTTCGAGTCCCCGCCTCCAACACCCCAACGACGCGAGATCCGGCGGCCCGCAACGAAGCCGCAACTGTTGTTACACCAAGGCTCTCGTTCGGTAGGGGTGAAGCTCCCCTAGGAATAGGGGAGGCAGGGGCGGCCAGATCTGGCACCTCCGACCGCCATATTTGTCGTTGCACCAAGGCTCTTGTCCTCTGGTTCACCCGCCTTCCGCACGGCCAGGATCGCCGGCCCACGCCCGCGCCACCGCCTGCCGCAGAACAAGTGACACCACTCCGACCAGGGCCACCGCCCCGAAGAATGCGCCACCCCGCAACAGAGGCAAGGCAGCCAGGGCCCCGTCGCCATCTTCCTTGGCGGCACCCCAGGCTTGCCCGGCGACGACCTCAGGCGGCGGCGAGAGAGGAAGGGAGGGGAAAGGGAAAGGCGGCGGAGCTAGGGTTTGGAACCCCAGGGACGACGCGAGGGGAAGGGAGGGGGAGGAGGAGTCATCGAACTGATCTTGCACCACTAGTAAACAAATGAGCGTGGATGCGCGCAGCTGGCTTTGATTGACCGGCTGACTTGTCGCTACCCTGCCGCTCACGCAGGCGTTTTCACTGACAGCTGCCTCACCGCCGGAGAGGTACATGTGTGTACTATAAATAGGCTCGCCGTTTGCCCGTCCGCCGAGCAATAATAAAACAGCCAACACTTTGCCTCTGGCACGAGGAGAAAGCTCAATCGAGCTCGGGAGATTGATCTGGCGACATGTCGAGGTGGGGAAGTGGCTTGCTCCCAGCCCTGTTGCTCGCGGCCATGCTGCTATGTGCGTGGCCGCTGGTGGTGGTCGGAGAAGACGCACCTCAAGCTTACGCATACCCAGCACCTAAGCCATGTAAGTACAGAAAATAAGTACTCCTTTCTCCTCTTCGGTAAGTCCACTCTTCCTTCCAAAAGTCGATTTGGAGGACGTTAAAAAGGGAATTCCAAAATATTACGAAATTTTTACGCCAAGATTTTTTCTCCTTCTGAAATCTTGTGTTCATGCTTAGCCGTTGATATTATCACATTAATTTATAAATTTGATTTCAAAATTGATTAGCGACATGTCATCACTGACGTGTTCATCTGGACGAGGCCTTCAAAACATGATCCATGTTAATATGTTTCGATGAATTTTACTCGTCGCCACTAGTTTCACACAATCCTTTTACTAATCATGGTTCCGCGTGTTTATATCATATGACAGACATATAAATAAACAAATTCTCTCAAGAACATAAAAGACATAGTAGAAAATACAAAAAACACTGCATGCTTCTACAGTTATAGAAGGTACACAACATGTCTCATTCACATTGTTTCTGTTCAAATTTTGGTTTTCGATCCATGTGCAGGCAATCCAGGGAGCAGAGGACCTTGCTCTAGACCATGCCAGCCTACGCATCCTTGTACTGTTCCTCCGTGTCCTCGTCCGCGACCTTGTCCGCCTGGCTCGACTTGAACAGTTCGTCCAATTTCGTACAACCGGTAGAATAGTAGGTCCGGCCAGATCCAGTTAATTATGTACTCCTTCCGTCCGGATTATTTGTCGCAGAAATGGATAAAAATAAAAATATGTAGAACTAAAATACATCTAGATACATCTATTCCTTCGACAAGTATTTCCGGACAAAGAGATGCGTATTATATAAGAAAACAGCACAGAAAATATATAGAAATATGATGTGAGATTTTTAATCGTGTTAAACCAAACGTTTTTCATGGCAATTATAAGTTATCATGATGATAGTAATTTTTTTTGGCAAGCATGTCAAATTCTGACAAAAAACTGAACACGCCAAGGATTTGCTATGCTTGCTAAAGAAATTTGGCATCATCACGACAACTATAATTGCCATGAAAAATCTTTGATTTGCGACGGTAAAAAATCTGACATTCAATTAGTAGCGAAGTCCAAAAGTACAAAATTGCAGCATCTTAATTTCAATAATGAACTTGGAGTGCATATGTATAGCATGACATGTCTTCATGGAATATTAGTTCATAGTCTGTCGCCACCATCTATGAGACGATGACTTTGTATGAATGTGTATCAGATTTAAATCAAGTATCTGTTGTCTCTATTTTTATCTGGGTATTTGGCGAGACAATAAGAGGGTTACTGAATTGTTTATCTTTTGGACGAAACGTGCTTTTGAGTTCACTGATCGCTGCCAACGGCATTTTCCGTGAAGAACAAACGCTCCCGATGCTACATGGGCCCGCCGAAGCTTGAATATTAGCTTGCCAAAAGCAAAAGCACGTAAGGTAGCATTCACGAAATCCAGTCTCAATGACAAACCAGGGCCTGCACGACGATATTCAACACAAAGCTTCAATGATATTATGCTTATAGTGGACTAAACGGCACAACTTTTCAATCAACAGCATAAAAAACTATGGAAGGAGCACTTGATACTTTTTCCTCAGGAAGAACCACTCAATATTTACATGCCCTAGTCATCTACAGTAGTAGTCTGCGGCACAGCGACAGGCTCAAACACTACCAGTTTGGTCTAACAAAGTACACAACGCACAACGCATCCCAGTTTCTTGGGTACCTCCATCCCTCCTCATGCGCCATCTGAGCCTACAACATATCAAGCCACAAACTTCTGCGCAACCTCTATGAACGGTAGAGATTGTGCACAGGAAGTTTCCTCGTTACATTGGCAGAAGTTTCATGTCCAAGCCCTACCCCTTTAGGTGAGGGTGGACTTGCAGCATCAGAAGTCCAAAGGCGGTGTTTCCTGGTACATCGGCAGAATATGTCAGTGTGAATGTGTACCAGATTGTGAATATTACATTCAGTCTAATCACATCAAAAATATGACCAAATTAATTCAGCAATACAAGGAAATATAAAATACAATTACACGAGCAATAATCTCACTCAGTAACAGCTTAATTTAAAATACATGTCTGCGATATGAGGAAAATAAGTTAAAAAAGGGATGAGACTACTTCCCAACAATTTTAAACATCAACACAGTTCGGACATTATCCAGGAGTAACAGCGAAGACCTTACCTTGTGCAACAGGTCATGAGCAATGAAGTCCCAAGGAAGAGATACTGACATCAAACAGCACTTGAGAGGAAGAAGTTTATCATCCGATCGTTTGTTGGCAGATGCAGCCTCGAAGGCCTGCTCTGCTAACTTTGATGCAGCAGAAGCCGCCTTACGAACAAGAACCCGGAAGTTATCTCCTGCATCTTTCTTTGACCTCTCACGGCTCTGATCTAATTCAGAAAGAAAAATCCATTTCAGTGTGACAAGTCAACAACTTGCAGTAGAGCTACAGCAAAACCAAAAGTGCATGGGCATATTTGAGGGTTGTGTATAAAGTTTGTTATTGGTCACAACGAAGGAAATTGTAAACTAGATTGCACCAATAAGTGATACGGCTTGCAGAGAACAGACAGATCATAGAAAACCTGCAATCCCAGAAACAGCAACTTCAACTTCCCCACGTCCTTCAGGGCCCCTCATGAAAAGTTTATCGAGTTTCGTATTGTCCTGCCCAAGTGAGAGGAAGCTCCCGAATTTGGATCTGCCAGCTGATAATATTAGGAGAAGTATACGTTAGAAAATAATAAAATCCATTAAAATCTCAAACAGGACATCACCTATCTAGGTTGAGCAAAGTGTCAGCTAGTTAGAAGTAGTATTACTAAAGACTGAATCATGCTTAGTTGCAGAGAACAAAATACTTGCAGAAAACAATACTTGATAATAGCACCACAAATGCAATAGTTTCCCAGTAAATAAACTAAATGTACGAAAGACTAACCATCATAAGCTTCACGGACATTTTGATAGCTGACATAACCCGAGAAGAGAGTTCTCTGCAATTGAAATCACAGTAAGCTCCACGTAACCAAATCAGTGTGAAATCCAGGATTCCTTTTGAGAAGGATGAGGAGTGCACCGGTATGTTTGATGTTAAGTGTAAATGGTTTTTGGAGAGTTACATCACAGAGTAATATGGATTTCTTCCTAAAGGGCAAGGTGTTACTGGCAAGTAATGCAGGCATGCAGAGAGCAGTTTAAGTATAGATCAATAAAACAAAAAAGAATAGGGAGCAGAGAGAGATGTTTGCAGTACTTATAAGCGGCTCTTGGCCTTACTGTGTGCGGGATCCCACTGAAGCTGCAGGTTAGAACAAAACAGAGGAGAGAAGAGAGAAGGGTTGGCTGGGAAAGCTGCTTCACACGGCAGAGCACAGACAACAGTTGTACAGTTCAGGGATGGATTTAGTAAATTAGTTGGAACTATTAGAGAAGATCTCTGGTCGCCCCCCTGAACAATACACACCACCGTAGTTCAGGGGGTAGTTTGGACTCCTCTACCAATATTAGCTTATGTAATGAATCTAAAAAAGGTTACAAAGAAACCTTCATTTAGGAAGAGAGTGAACCTTTGGTGGGTTCTCTCCAATGCTCCCAGAGTTGATCGCAGATTGTATATTTGAACTGACATTGCTTGATCCGGTTTCTTCAGGAAATGCCGCCCCATCATGTGCATTGAGAATCACACAATAGCAGTGTTCTGGGTCTGACAAAACCTGCTCAAATTTACAAGATCACTTTACTCTTTATGGTCAACTTAGAAAGTATATGGTCAAAGCCATCTAAAGGAAAACCAAGGAATATCAGTGATAAAACCCTAGGCATCTACAACATTTGCAAAGTATTGCCAGAACACGATGTTATGTATTTTTTTGGGAGAAGTAAATCAGAACTCACCACAGCATCAAAAGGATCATCGAAGTCATCAACTGAGAAATAAATGTTGGGATATGCAGGTACTGTTTCTACAGCCTATTAAAGAGACATGAGTTACGACAGATTATTTATATTGAAAGGCTGTTTCTCTGAAAAGATGATACCACAAAAAAAATTACCTTTCTTTGATCAAGGCGGAAATTTACACGGCTAGGGGATGCATATACAGTTTTCGAAACCTTATAAATTGGAGGCAACCGCTTGCTTTTGTCTGCACGATTGCGAAGATTGCTGATACTGTGGAAGTAGATTATAAGAAGCACATAACCAGCCATTAAATATTACTGAGGGCAGTTATGAAAAGAAAGTTTTGTTGTGCATGACAATTGATACTACTGGCACTCTTAAGATATGTGAGTCCTTTAACATTCCAGCGCAAACTCATGGTGAAAGATAAATTTGTGGTCACAAATTGTTCAGTCAGCTAATGAAAAAAGTGTGATTGTACCACCAACCCAGACCCGTTTCTCAACATTTAGTTGAAACAGAGAATGCTGTTTCAACACGGAATTAGATGACATGACAATCATTATTTGCCAACCGTCTCAGATTTTGATAAAGGGTGAAAAACTATGAACCAAATCTGGGGAGTTCTTTAACTGACTATAGCTAACAGGCCAAAAGTGCTGTATTATATTAATAGAAGATTTACTTCATGTAGCACCCCGTTGCATTGGCGATCTGCCAAGACATGATGAAGATACCACGCACGAAGGCTTGGAGAAGAAGAGGAATAATAGAGCATAGAAGGATAATTGGTAGATTTCTCTATATTTGTGCAGCTTAACCATTCTCTGGGTACAGATAGGCTCATATACCCTACAGCTCAATACATGGCCACATCCACGCTGAACACACACACGCACTCTGCGCCACCATTATTACGGCTCTTCTATAACGTGGCGCCTCCTGAATATATGTCTCTACTCCGGTGTCTCGCACACCAGCCGTGACACCTCAATAGATCACCAGAAAAGGTTTTTAGTTGTTCTTATGCATACTTATAGCTAATTAATTGTTCAGAGCATATAAAGTTTGTAAGATCTTAGCAAAAGTGCCACAGAAACATACCTGCACAATGCCACCGTGACAGTATATGACGTGTGAGCGACTAAATTCAAATAGAAGGAACGTTCCCAATCAACCTCGGTTGAATTAGCATTGATGAGCTTTTCAAGCTGGTAATTGCCAAAAAAGGAGCATATTTAGCCCATCAACAGAAAGTATTTGTTCTTATCATGGGTTCTCAACTAACACCATGTTAACCAGATAAGACATAAAGAACAGTGATATGGATTTCCCCATTGCCACTAGTCTTAAAAATTACACCTCACAAACATGAAAATCACTGTATTCAGTGTTCATCTGTTCATGCATACTCCCTCTGTAAAGAAATATAAGATCGTTTAGATCACTATATGATCTAATATAGTGATCTAAACGATCTTATATTGCTTTACAGAGGGAGTACAAAGCTATAAATGGTATGGGTTAGAACATTGTCGTCAAGCAACTCGCAATTTTTTTTCCAGTACTGTATGTTCATTACAGTTATACATATGAAAATTATGTAACATGTGCCCAAAAAAGGATCCTTCAGCAGCTAAGAACAACAAATTAGAATAAATTTGCTATGTGTATAGGGTTAATCAAATAAAACAATAGGAACATTTTCCCTTAAAAAGCAGTATGATTTAACAATAGGAACAAACTCTCTTAGCCTAACTGAATACAGAGTACACTTGTTATGGTTGCAACTGAATTATCTCAACAGTAGAGAACATATAAATACAAAAAAAGTGAAGAAAGAATGAATAAATTTTATAAAATTTTCCTGAATCTACACTACCAAGGAAGCCTCAAGAATTAGCCAAAAAAAATGTGAAGTAAAGTAGATTTAGTGTGGCTTCAATTACCGCAGGAGCCCATCTCCGCACGAAAAAGGGAGGCAGATCTTCCATCTTCTGCATCTACAGCCAGCAGCAACAAACGGTGAGATGCATATTGCACAGGGCAACAACGTATCATGCTATAACATAAGGGGATAATCATCAGGCCTATAGAAGGTACCATGCTATTGACAAAGAAGACGAGGTCGTCCTCCTCCCTGCTCCTCGAGACCCTACCACGCACGAAGAAGAGATCAAGCATCTCATGCCAGAATTTATCATCCATCTCGACGTCGGCCGGATCGTCCTCGGCCTCGACGACAGTCCACCCGATCAGATGCGAGTGTTTCTTCACCATGCTAAGCAATTCGGCCCTGGAAACAGAAACGTGCACAAAACAGTAGTTGCGTAAGCATCCGAGGCATATATAGGTAGATAATATATCTATAGTGTGAAACGCAAGTGTGTCCCTGTTATAGACATGTATAATTTTACCAAGGCGATGCCCGAGAACCGGATCATCCAGTTGCACTGCATCAGCAGTAACCATGTTCGAGGAGACGACTACCAAAGCAGTGCAGGCAATCAGCATAGCTAGGCTGAGGCTAAATTGGAAACCGTAACTCTTAATTTGTCAACTCTGGCCAGTCGTGGGCGGTTGCGCCGATCGGAATTTTGGCTTCTACTATGATCGAATTGTGCATGCTGAAGCTACGAACCGGAAAGGGGAGAACAGAGGGAGAGATGGGGAGAGGGCGCATACCTCGAGGGCGACGCCTGGCCGTCGCCGCCGGTTAGGTCAGTGGGCGATCTCTCGACGGGGACCTCCCCGGACGGCGAGGAGGTGGAAGGCGGCGCCGCCATCGCGCGGCACGGCAACTGGGAAGAAGGGGATCAGGAGGGGACGCGCGTGGGAAGCAACCGCCAGTTCCTCCGCGGGGTATCGGGGTCCCCGGCCGTGAGAACCACGCACGCGGCTTGGGAAGCGGGAGAAGGACTCGATGCCCGGCAGCGGAGGAGACTCGACTGGGGGAAGGGGAGCGGGGCGGAGCAGGGGAGGAAGACGGGCGAGCGGATCTCCGGCGCCGGTCGCCAACACGTGGCCCGCCAGCCGCGAAGACGTGGCGCGTCGCACCTGCCAGCGCACGCCGCAGCGAACCCGACCCACAGCGAACCCGTCCAGAACCGGCACACCGCACCGCACGCCAGCTCACCAGCCCAGCCTTTCCTCTAATCCTCTCCCCTAAATAATCCCGCCGTACCGCTCTGCCATGGCCGCCGCCACACTCCGCTCCGCCCTCCTCTCCTCCTCCTGCGCCCTCCGCCGCCTCTCCTCCGCCGCGCCGCGCGCCCCCCGCCTCGCCCAGCCCAAGGTCTCCGCGATTCCCCGCTCACTCGATCGTCGCGCGCTCTCGCGGGTTCCGTTCGCACTTCCGCTCACGGTTTCTGATCGGGGTTCTGCAGGGGTTCGCCGGGGCTCGCCGGTCCTACCCGGCCGCGTTCGCCGCCATGTCGACGTCGTCGGGGGCCAAGGAGGCGCCGGCCAACAACCCGGGCCTGCAGGCCGAGGCCGACCCGGCCACCAAGGGCTACATCATGCAGCAGACTGTAAGCCACTCCCTCCCCTTTGCTTCGCACTACTACGTTCAGCCGCGGATTCAGCCAGTATACGTGTGCTACTGGATTCAGTTTCGCGATTCTGCGGGTTTGATTTGTGGAGTGGAAGTCGCTATGTGGCCGGATTTGGCCGAGGCAATCTGTCGAACACTGGTCCGTAGGTGCTTGTAATAATGTCAGGCTGTAAAATTGGGAGGAAACAACACTTACCGAGGACTAAGTGATGGGTCATGGGTGTTGCTAGTTCCATGTGATGTGATAATTTCGAGCAGGAGCAACATTGTTGGTTTTGCAACTGCAAAGTTAACTTGTCATCCTTCTTTGTTTGGCCCGATATGCTGCTGCCTTTTCCCTGTTGCATATGTTCATTTCAACGCCTGTGGTATGGAGTTACCCTGCCTAATGCTGGAAACTATGTGTTTGGGTGTAGTATAGGCAGCTCATCAAAGGCTTTCATGGGCTTGTATTTTCGATAGGGGTGCTTTGGATCCTCCTCAATAAACTGAGGAATTTTTTTAGTGTTATATTGTACTAGGCCATGAAACTTCATTTCCTCTGCAATTGGTCGAACAGTTGGTGGAGCAGCTTGTTGCTAGCAGCATTTCAGGTTGTCCCAATCGGTTGCTATTACCATAATGAATTTTTTTCTCTCTTCTTTTTTTTTTGCTTACAGATGTTCCGCGTGAAGGACCCAAAAGTGAGCCTTGACTTCTACTCCCGTGTGATGGGCATGTCGTGAGTTTTCTTTCTTTTGTCTTCCTTCAGATAATGTGGTCGTGCATGTGAGAAGAACATCCATGGGTCATTGATTTCCTTAGTGAAATCTGTAAATGTTCTATTAAATTTCCGGGTTTTCAAGAAAAGCTATTATCATTGCATATCAAGCCATGCTTTGAATTTTCTCCTAGCAAGCAAGGATGTAATTGCGTGGAAATATGGTAATTCCGTAATTGGTACCTGGAGCAGCAAGGATCTGAACCAGAAGGGAATAGGCTCTATAATTCAGTTCTACTGCACAACAGAAAGCTCAAGGCCTTAGTTTTGGCCTCTTGCTGGATGTGCTTCAAATTGTTATAATTTACCACATGTTTATATTTTAGAAAAAGGCACTGAAGTTATCAATTCTCAAGTATACAAACAGCAGACTACGATTAGCGACTGAGAGGTTCATGGATATGCTAATAAATAGGAATTTGCAGAGTGTCTCAAATGTAGTTGCACTATTAGTGTCCATCAAAAACCATATTGCACTGTCGTGCGACAATAACTGCTTGTTGTTTCTTTTACGTTTTGTTAACAAAACCAGGTTGCTGAAAAGGTTGGATTTTCCTGAGATGAAATTCAGTTTGTATTTTCTTGGTTACGAGGTAAGAGTTGCTTGATTAGGGGAACAATAAATCACTTGACTTGACAGTTTACACGAATCAGCTAACTCCTCTGGTTCTTTACCTTGGCATTGTCGATAGGACTTGTCTGCAGCCCCCGCTGATCCTGTCCAGCGGACTGGATGGACTTTTGGGCAAAAGGCTACGATCGAGCTCACTCAGTATGTTTTGTTATTCTTTAATACTGTCCTTGATTGTTTCTCAGTAGCGCCGATTGCCCACTAATATATTGATAAACTCCTGGTTTCACTGTAGCAACTGGGGCACAGAAAGTGATCCTGAATTCAAAGGGTACCATAATGGGAACTCAGACCCTCGTGGGTTCGGTATGTGCAACAAAGATTCTTGTGTAAAAATGTTACCACTGCTTTTGCTTAATCTCACCATGAATCTCTTAGATGCTGCAATGCTCATATCTTTTTTTATTCAGGCCATATAGGGGTAACTGTGGATGATGTCTACAAGGCATGCGAGCGTTTCGAAAGTCTTGGGGTAGAGTTTGTGAAGAAACCAGATGATGGTAAAACTAGGCTGCCTACTCCTTTTAGATCGTCAATATTATGTGGCGTACTGGTGTTGCATATGGCCTTGATACCGAATTGTTAATTCAATATAAATCATGGCAAACGTTAAGGGAGAAAGCAAGAAACTTAGTTAAAAGGCTTATATCCATTTGTATCATGCCGTGTTAAATTCTTGTTAGGAGTGGAGTAATAGTTGCTACTACTCTCTAGATGCACTTCACATAGCATTATCTGTATTACTCGAATAACAATCTAAACAGAAAAATTCAAGGCATGTGTTTCATATAGTTTACAATCTTGAGGGGCATCCAAGACCTGCTTAGCATCAACATCTTTGAAATCTTGAGCGACCTTTCAGGCTCAAGGCCTCCTTGGATCACTCCACTATTGCAACATCTTGTAGATCCACTACTATAGCATCTTGGACATTTCACCCCGGAGAACCACACAATTTGTCCATCTTGTGTCAGGTAAATGGGGTGTTGGCCCCTCCCACTCTGCTTCAAGTCATTGGTTAAGTGGAGTGAAGCATTGACCATCTGTGATTATGACGACGAATCGAACAAAACCTCACTTTACGACATCTAAACTAAGCCATGCTTGGGTTTATATACTCTGATAGGCTATGTTCATCTATGACCAGCCTATCAAAACAAACAATATTTTGGTATGCTCCAATATCTCAATACTCAATAGTTATATGTGAAAGGAATATATGTATCCACTTCATGATTGAATCTGAACAACAATGGAATTGTGGCAAGTTGCGGACGGGCTAAATGGGGAGGAGAGCATGTAGTATTTATACTTCTAGGATACCTATTAGAGCCATATGTATGGGGCACTCATATTATTGGTGAACCCAACTAATTTTGTCATGCAGAAGTACAACCATATTAGGACAGTCATGTTACTTCTATGCTCAACCAATTGGCACAAGCAAACTACAACATGTTAAAATTACAAATCGATATTCTATACAATCTTCATGTAAAGTAAATGAGAGTATTCTAGTCTCAACCATGTAAAGACGCTTTGAATCACACTAGCACAGTGGCCAGCACATATGTATGTACAACATCTTAATCACGTGTTATTTATTTTTCTCTATAGCTCATATATTCTATATGCTTTTAAGATACATATCGTTTGATGTTACACTTGAGTTGAAACTTTAGTTGATTCAAAAGAATCTATGAATTCTCTAATATAATTATATGGCCAGCCTGCTACTTTGGTTAATCACCTCCAAGTGAATGGTCTATATATGTGATTTCAATTTTCACAAAGTAAATGGTGAAATATTTGTTTGGGAGGGGTGATATATCATTTTTCTGTTGATACCCACTCCTTACACATTGCTTCAATCTAGAGTTATCTCCAAACCGTTGATTGATTTCGAACTTCCATGGAGCTGTTGAGCTTTCCTTCACCTTCCTATTTCAGAAGACAACCAGCTCATTACATGTTCTCACTATTTCATTAATATCGTGTGAAATTGTCATTTGTAATTTTGATAAATTGTTAGCCTCTGGCCTGAATTTACACTTAATTGACGTTTGCATCATCGCTGATGTCCCACATCGGGAAGATGACTTCTGTGATTTGTTTGCCGTACTGCACATTGAGTCTTGAAATGCGGCACTATGCTTTAGCACAAAACAATTTGCCAAATCTTTTTTAGATCTGTGATCTACGTCTCCTGTTTCAACCATCTGTATCATGCTCATGTTAGATCATCGTTAGGAGTTGAGTGAATAGGTGCTGCTAGTCACTAGATGTGCTTCACAAGTTGAAAGACACGCACCGGAATTCGTCAACTAGTTCAGTTT